TGAGGCTGGTACAGGGACACTATAAAGCTCAGTTGTGATGGTTGGTGAGATGCCTCAGTGGCAATGAGTGCCTGCTGATTCTTGTAGAGGACTCGAGTTTGGTTCCAGGAATCCACATCTGGTATCTTGCAAACACTTTGGAAGGAACATGTAAATAGATTGTGAAATCGAAGCTGTAAACAGTTCAGAGGGAGAGATGAGCTTGTAAGGCAAAAGAGTGATAAGTGGATGTGTTTGCGGCTGATAGATAAGCATAGAGGTAAGCTCAGAGGAACCTCATAAAAGCCACAAAGGAGGACACCAGAGCAGAGCACTGGGATGTGCCAAGCATGAGATGCTGTGCGAGCCCTGAAGCAGACTCTCCTCCACCCACCAACTGAGAAACCCCATGACAGCTCAAGACAGAGCACTGAGCTGGATTCTTGGTGTCCAGTTGGCCACTACACTTTGCTGTGCAAGCAGATCGAGAGGGACAAGAAGACTCGAAACCCGAACCTGAATGTGGAGGCATACACACCACACTCATCTGGTCATGGTATATTATACCTTGGCCACTAGGATGCTTTTGCTTATTTGTTAGATGCTTATTTTGCTTATGTTGATTGGTTGGAAATATAGTTGTTGTGAGACATGTGATGTGGGAATAAATAAACTATTCAAGTGAAATTCTGTTGTGTATTTCCTCCCCCGAGTAATCTGAGGGTGTGCTCGCATCACACTTGTAACCCTAATCGCAACAGATCCAATCACTCTTCTGACGTGATTTATTTTTAAAGGGATATACATGGAAGAACAAATGGCCACTCTGAGGCTGCTTTAGGACCAAAGGTGTGCCCCTGCCTTGCTAAGGCTTTCTCTTCTGGTTTGCTTTCCCCCTGTCCCCATCCACAACCTCGGCTTTAGCACACATAGGGAAAAATAAAGTGCAAAACCCAGTGGTATGAAAGAGCAAAAGCAATGTCTCTGTCACTGTGGCTTTAAGTGGCTTTGGGCTGAAATTAAGTATTTGTTCTTTTGAAGCCGGGCATTGGTGGCACAGGCCTTTAATCCCTGCACTTGGGAGGCAGAGGCAGTTGGATCTCTGTGAGTTCAAGATCAGACTGTTTTACAAGAACTAGTTCCAGGACAGCCTCCAACGCTACACAGAGAAACCCTGTCTCAAAAAACCAGAATAAAATAAAATAAAAGTTTGTACTTTTGAATTGTGCTGAGATTATTAACATATGTAATTCATATGTATGCCCGAGAAAGGAAGGAAGGAAGGGAAAATGGGAGAGCATATCAGCAACTGAAAGTTAACATTGGCATTAACACTAGCAGTAGAAAAACAAAGCATAATAATTTCACAAGTTCTGATTACTGAGTACCAGTATGAAGTCCTGAGAGACATTCCCAGCACACCGATCAAACAACTCAAATTTCCCTGTTACATTGGTAGGGAAGGATGCCCTACCACCTCCAAGTCAGTACAGACACACCCAGACATTAAATTCTCAGCATAAGGATATTTATTACCCTGGGGGAAAGGAGGCCTGCCTCTGGATCAGGCAAAGGTATTTTTGCAGGAGTGGGTTTTTAAGGAGAAAAAGGGGGAGTCTATGCTAGGGTGAGTTGGTAAATCCTGATTACATATTGTTTGATTGGGACATCTCGCTTGCCCCTGCACAGCCCAGAAAGTCCCCCCAACTCTCTCTCTCTCTCTCACTGTCTCTATCTGTGTCTCTCTGCTCTCTTTGTCTCTGTCTCTGTCTCTGTCTTTATCTCTCTCCCTCTCCTCTCTCTCAACCTGGCCAACTCAGAGAGTCTCAGAAAAAAGGAAGGAAAGCTGCCATAAAGACAAGTTCCCAATTCTCAGCAGCTATTGCAGCTTCCTCCCCTAAAACTGCCAGCCACACAAGTCCCCGCCTAAGCATTCAGCATTTGACCATACTTTGGCACAAACTCAACTTTTGATGGACACATCATCACCCATCACCTATTATGCCCAGTCCACAAGACCCCACAAAGACCACCAAGGAGCTGACTCACCAATGCAAATGCACTACGTATCTTTATTGGGATACAAGCCAAGTCATGGACCTCATCCAGCAGCTGCAATGGCATGGAGGGATGGGGGTGGGAGCCTCCAACCCTTTAGTGCAGGAAGCTTATAAAGGCAAAAAAGAGAGAACCATACAGTTGGCCTAGGTTAAACAAACAAGGTTAACCAGGGGAATGGGGGGTTGCAGGTTGGTTAGTTACTTATCTTGGGAGATGATTGAGGAATTTCTATCACCTATCTTCACAGCCAGGCAGTTACAGTTATCTGCTCTTCCGAGGACAAAGAGCTAACCATTGGGCATTGACATAGCCTGGGGGTGGAATCCTTTCTCCCAGAACTGGGGGTATAGTCATGACTCATTTGTCACCCACACAGGTCAAGGGTACTATCCTGTCTGGAAACACATCTGACTCTCACCCTAGCACATAAGAATTTTTTTCATAGAACCTAAACAAAATCTATAGTGTAAGCCAGTGAAATAACCCTACCTCCACTATACAACACCCTGCCTTTCCCATCACCAATTCATCAAGGTCTAATATGGTAAGATTCTAAGAAAATGTGTTTAGATTTGTAAATAAAAGTTACAAATGCCTGTGTATGTAAAAGCCTAGTTATAAAAGTCTGTAAATACAACATATTAAAATGTTGAAAGTTCAAAATAAATGAAAGTCTAAGTAAGTTGTGAGGATTTAATAAGGTGATTCAAAGCATTGATGGTATATGCCTTTAATCCCAGCACTCAGGAGGCAGAGGAAGGCAGATCTCTGTGAGTTGGAGGCCAGTTTGGTATACAGAGTGAGTTCCAGAACAGCCTCCAAAACAATACAGAGATACCCTGTCTCAAAAAAACCAAAAAAAGGAAAGAAAGTGATTGATGGTATGAGTTTGAGAAAGTGACTTATGTGTGTGGAAAAGTAAATTAAGGTTTATGAAAAGTTGCTGTGGAATAAACTTGTACACTGAAAATGCATTGATTTCACTGCTAACAAAAAGCAGAGCTGGGCAGTGGTGATGCACAATTTCAGTTCTTGCACTCAGTCAGATGGATATATATGTAAGTTCAAGGCTAGTCAGGTTTACAGAGCTAGTTCCAGGACAGCCTCGGCTACACAGAGAAACCGTGTCTCAAAAAACCACAAAGACTAAAATGAAAAAAAAGCTGATTGGCTGATAGCTATGAAGGAATTTAGGGTCAGAGAGAATGCCCTAAAGAAGGACAGAGTCTTGGGAGTCACAAGCAGACACAGAAGGAAGCAAGATGAATATGCAGTGTTGAAATAAGGGACCACCATGTAGCAGGGAGGAGATAGGAAATATGGGTGAATTTAAAATATAAGTGTCAGCTAGTAATAATCATGAACTATTGGATGAGCATTTATAATTAATAATAAGTCTCTGAGTGGTTATTTGGGAGCAGTTTCTGGGACACAGAGAAACTCCGCCTACAAAAAGATGTTTCAGATTTATTTCCCTCTCTCTATGCTATTGCTTGGATTCCCAAACTTTTCTATGACTCCAAATCATAAATCTACTGCACTTTCCACAATGTGAATTTTAGTGCAGATTACAAACAGTAGTAATACTAACATATTTAAAATTTATCTTTTTTGTAAACTTCAACAAATATCTTAAGTTTCAGAAAATCAAGTTGAATCCACTGGTCACAGGTCAAATGGACTCCTGTTAACCAAAAGCCTAAGTTTTATCTCAGCCCAGTCTGTGTTGGCACCACACTACAGGGAACATCTTTTCCAGGTCAATGTGTTTGGGGCTGCAATTGGAATCAGTCAAACAGCCCCAGGTCTGATCCTTAGTGGGGTGGTGTGGATGCAGGGAAGCCAATTACCCAAAGACATTAAAGATGAGACAGAAACACCTGATCATATCAGGAGTGCTCCCTGTAAATACTGAAGACCATGGTTTATTGTTCTATCACATTAAGTAACCATCCAAAAGTGGGGGCAAAGGCAGAAGACATCAATTATCATGTACAAAATTTTCCCACCTTCCCTATCCTGTGATCCCTAGCCCCTTTCCCTGGTCTTGTGTTCTCCCTTCCCCAACTAATAGGACCATGGGACTAAAGCTTCCAAATGTATATCTAAGTAAAAGTTTTAACATAGTCTCCTTTACTTTTTCTTCTGTCTCTAGTCTATCTCAATAGATTTCAAATCAACTACAAACTGCTCCAGCAACTAACTGGCCTCAGATGATTCCTCAGCACCTGGATCCTAGGCAACTCCAAAGTGGCTAGTCACAGAAAATCCAGTCTAACAAGTTATTCCATCACTGCCCACAATTGCCCAGCACCAGATGATCCTGCAGAGACTGGACATCAACTGAGACAGCCTACTCTTCAGGACCTTGGCCAATACACCAGCTTCTTTAGATCCCTAACAGCAATACACCTGTGTCAACAGGAAACAGCTAGAGAGAATAACACCAAATTACCCAATACCCAGAGATTCAATACTAAAACAAATTGGTAGGAATGGAGGGTTTTCTAATATACTCAAGATTGGAAAACATGGTATTGACAGATTTTTCCATTTACCCCCTTCTCTCCCTGGATAAAAACTGCTAGATCACAATCCTAATGCTAGTCCCTTACGTCTAGTTCCTTATTAGACAGCTGACTTATTCCGGAGACAACACACCAAGGTCCAACTATCCAAGTTCAATATTTGGCTAACATGTCCAATCAGGACTTACCAACTCACACTAACACAGAATACCCCCTTTTTCATTCTAAAAATCCACAGAGATGGCTCTACTTCCTCTTGGATCAAATTCAGAGATTTCAAAAGTATCTTTAATCTTCCAAATCAAATTAAAGTCATAAGACCTAAAAGTCTCATGCAAGGCTACTTAAATAACAAGAGACTTGGTCTGTGGTATGGTTACTCTTAAACTCAATACTAGATAATGAGAGATTTAGTTTAAAGTGTGTTTACTAGATGTTTGGAGAATTGAGGAAGAAAATCTGTTTCTTCTTTGTCTTATGATAAAGAAGTCTGTTGTCATTTCCTCCTTTTTGGTTGGGGTATATGAAAATGTTAATGAATGGGGGGCTCCGCGGTCCTGTGGGCTCTGCTGGCCACCCGTGTGGCGGCAGCGTTTGAGCCAGTGAGCATGGGCATCGCCATTGTGGCTGTGTTAGTGCTCACCAGCTACCTGACCTACTCTGACTTGTACTGCCGCTTCACCGAGTGCTGCAATGAGGAACGGCCCCTCAACGTGTCGGCCCTCAAGATGGACTTGGAGGAGAAGCTGTTTGGACAGCACCTCGCCACCGAAGTGATTCTCAAGGCACTGACAGGCTTCAGGAACAATAAAAAAACCAAGAAACCACTGACTCTTTCCTTGCACGGCTTGGCTGGCATAGGCAAGAATTTTGTCAGCCAGATTGTGGCTGAAAACCTTCACCCAAAAGGCCTGAAGAGTAACTTTGTTCACCTGTTCTTCTCTACTCTGCACTTTCCTCACAAGCAGCAGATAAAACTGTACGAGGACCAGCTCCAGAAGTGGATCCGAGGCAACATGAGCGCATGTGGCAACTCCGTCTTCATCGGAGACGAGATGGATAAGTTGCATCCTGGGATCATCAATGCGATCAAGCTCTTCCTAGACTACTATGAGCAGGTGGATGTGATTTCCTACCGGATAGCCATCTTCATCTTCCACAGTAATGCAGGCAGGGACCTGATTACTAAGACGACCCTGGACTTCTGACGGGCAAGAAGGAAGAGGGAAGAGATCCAGCTGAAGGACCTGGAGCCCGTGCTGTCCGTGGGTGTCTTCAACAACAAGCACTGTGTTCTGTGGCACAGTGGGCTGATAGACAGAAACCTCATCGACTACTTTATCCCCTTCCTTCCCTTGGAGTACAGACGCGCGAAGATGTGTGTGCGGGCAGAGATGCGGGCTCAGGGGGATGCTGTCGATGAAAACATCGTCTCCAGAGTGGCAGATGAAATGATATTTTTACCCAAGGATGAGAAGATCTATTCAGACAAGGGCTGCAATATAGTGCAGTCACCATTGAGCTCCTCACCCCATAGGGTGGGAGGATTCAGGGGAGCCTCCTGCTCCTCCAGGGCCTTGCCTTGCCGAAGCACTTTGAAGAACCCCTTGGGGTTTGCACATTTGCAACTGTGGACTCTGGGGATGCTGTGGGTGCTACATGGCAGCAGCTGAAGACGAATGTGGATCAAGTGCCTAGAAACATCGGAACACGGTGCCAGTGGTACCCTGTAGAGAGCTGCAAAGTCCTGTACCCTTAAGATGGTGCTGGCTTCTGCCTTCTGCTAGCCCAATAGCAGGTGCTCTCTATGATAAACAACACCTGTATTTGGTTCAGGCTGGATATCAGGCTTGCTTCCGCATACATGGACCTATCTGCAGGATCCACATGGCATACTGGGGTTGGCCGCCCAAGGTCTTTTAAGCTGTGGGTTGGGGCTCCCTGGCACTCCCCGGGAGAAGAAGATTGTTTAAGGTTCCTGAATAAACTGCTTAAAGAAGAGTCTGGGCGTTGCGTCTTCCTTGCAGGTAGAGGTGGGCAGGCTCAGATGGGTTGGCTCAAACCATGCAGTCGGGTGTAGCCAATTTGAGCATCAATGACTTCAATCTCCAGAAACTAGCCTGGCTGCATGCGCCTAATTTCTCTGTACCCAGAAGCCTCCACTGTTGTTCAAGGGTGTCTTCCATTAAAGGAAACTGTACAAGCAGAAGCACAGACCAGCTGAGGTCAATGTTCTGCTTTCCCCTCCCTCAGTGCAGGCTTTGAAATGTCTTTTCCCACTGCGATTAGTGAAGCAGTCAACATCATATAAGAAACAGTCATGTGGGTGCTGGGAGTTGAGCCGGGGTCCGCTGGCCATCAGTCAGCTCCCCAGAATGGTAGGGACCTCATCCATCCTTATTCCCCACACTCAATCCTTCATTAAATCCAGTCTCTATGGAATCACTTAGCTTGAGTCTGTGAATCGCTACCTTACTAATGCTACTCAGCTTTCTCCAGCTGCCTCACACCATCAGGGCCTATTTTAGCCAGTTAATGCCCTAATTAGAATCTATTACAGCCAGTGTGTTATTAGTCGCTTTACCCCTGTACTCATTAAATGCTACCCAGTCTACCAGCCATGCAAGTGGCTTGAAGGAAAAAAGGAAAAAACTATGACAGGTATTACAGTATAGGGCTGTTGTAGATCTACTGCTCCACCACCATACGCAGAAGCGGAACAGCCAACTCAGGGTTCATGCACTGAATGGTACCTTTTTCCAGGGACATGGAAGCAAGTACGTATGGAATTGTGGCTTGCTTTCCCTGTGCTCCAGGATCAGCAAGGAGACCTAGTGATTGGAGAAGTTTGGCTTGCGCATGTCATCTGTTCAGTATGCCAATTTTACAAAAGCTGCAAATTTGTCTAAGTACTTGTCCAGTTTTCTTTTACAGAATTGGTCACTTAAATTTGAAGATACTTTGAAGGAGTTGAAGCTGGCAGTGGTCCATGTGAATTCCACCAGAGTGGACCTTTCCTTTGCATCAGGATTATCGTCCTGGCTGACTTCTGCAATGAACAATCTTAAGGAGTACGCGGGTATAGGAGCATTAACAGGTCTCTTGGTGTTGGTCTCCATGGTGTGCTTGTGGTTTCTATATAAGATTAGAGTCACACAAAGATGCAACACAGCCATGATCATTCAGGCCTTTACCGATATTGAAGCAGGACAGTCCCACCAGGCATGGTTGGCTACCTTAAGAGCTGATTAATTGTGCTCAGGATGTGAGGGAAAGCACTGCACTCTGTGTCAACTTACAGTGACCCAGACAAGAGCACGTCTGATTGCATGCAGGTTGGTACCCAAAAAACGTCATGCCTCTGAAAAAAAGGGTATCGGACGGGTCTGATGATGGTTGGGTGAATGACACGAAATGAGAAATCAGTACAATGTCCCTGTCTATGTCAGAGATTAGACCTCTACTCTTGCCTGTTGTGTTTAAAACAAAAAAGGGGAAATGTAGAGAGGCGAAAAGTGACGCACCCTTAAGATGGTGCTGGCTTTTGCCTTCTGCTAGCCCAATAGCAGGTGCTCTTTATGATAAACAACACCTGTATTTGGTTAAGGCTGGATATCAGGCTTGCTTCCATGTATGTGGACCTATCTTCATGTTCCACGTGGCATACTTCGTGGCATACTGGGGTTGGCCGCCCAAGGTCTTTTAAGCTGTGGGTTGTGGCTCCCTGGCGCTCCCTGGGAGAAGAAGATTGTTTAAATTTCCTGAATAAACTGTTTAAAGAAGAGTCTGGGCATTGCCTCTTCCTTGCTGGTTGAGGTGGCACGACAGTACCCATGCCTCAGATGCCACTAATGGGCTACACACCCTGTTGCAGCTTTGGAACCAGATTTCTCTCTCCAGGAGCACCACCTCTGCTTTGTTTTTGCCTTGAGCTGGCACTGAGTTTTCAGAAGCAGATGCTGGTGTCTGAGGGGAGCATATCGGCCTGACCTCGGCTGCACTGTCAGTGTCAGCAGTAAGGACTGCATATAAGGTCCTTGTAGCACACAGGGACACAGCCATTGAGGCTATACCTTAGCTTCTGCTCACAGCTCTGGCTGTGGGATTCTCTCACCTGCCTCCTACTGCCTATGGGTTGCAGCATGCCTTGGACCATGTCTCATGAACTGTTAGATTCACCCCAGCCTCATCCCTGGTCATGTCAGAACGGCCATCAGCGTTGAAGGAGGTCTGGTTCCTTTGCCTGCTAGACTTGCCCTGAAGGTCAAGCTCAGCTGTACAGCACCAGTATCATGCACAGGAAGGATAAGCGCTAGACCAGAGCTGGCCTGGCCACTCCCCCATTGTGCACAGACTCCACCTGCAGGAGTGGCCATACACCAGAGGTGCTGCCTTTTTTCAAAGGAAACGTATATTTTTAAAACATGTTTTTTACTTCTAAATGTTAGGTAAAAGTATAAGATGCCATGTGTTTTAAAACTTAGGAAGCTCCGGGTGTTGGTGGCCCATGCCTTTAATCCCAGCACTCGGGAGGCAGAGGCAGGTGGATCTCTGTGTGTTCGAGGCCAGCCTGGTCTACAAAGTGAGTTCAAGTACAGCATCTAAAGCTACAGAGAAACCCTGTGTCCAAAAAAAAAACTTAGGAAGCACCAGGCGGCGGTGGCACACACCTTTAATCTAGCATTTAGGAGGCAGAGGCAGGTGGATCTCTAAGTTCGAGGCCAAGCTGGTCTGCAGAGTGAGTTCCAGGATAGCCAGGGCTACAGAGAGAAACCCTGTTTCAAAAGACAAAAACATAGGAAAGACATAAAATAGACTAAGTATTCTTAATATTCTCAGGTTTTTATTGTTGCTGGGTAGGGGACACAATGCCCTTTCTCCTAGCAGGAAGATCAGGACTCAGGGTGCCTCTGCTATGTTATAGGTTTGAGGCTAGCCTGAGCTACATACAATTTTTAAAAGAAAAAAGTTTTTATTGTTAAAATGTGTAGAGTGGAATTATATGGGCACAACTTTAGACCTCACAGTCCTGTTTGTGGTGGGTCCTGTGTGTAACCTCTGGGTGATGTCTTCAGTGGCAGTACCCGGCTGTTCTGACAGTAGGAGAGCAAGTCTGTGACTCCAGCCTTTAACCATTCTGTTCATCGTTACAGTGCGGCTGCAGATATGAGAAAGAAGACTGTGCCATATTTTTACAGAGTGTGGTAGAATGACTATTTTTATAATGTGGAGATGCCTTATAGAGAATCTTATTTAGTCTTTTAAAAATGCCAAGGTGAGCTCGGTGTGGTGATGTGTACCTTTAGTCCCAGCACCTGGGAGGTCATGGCAGGACTGCCTCAACTTGAAGGCCAGCCTATGCCAAGCTACATACAGAGATTCCATCTCAAAGCAGAAAGCAGACAAAAGCCTGCCAAAATGATGAAGTTCCATGTCATGTGCTTGGTTTGGAGCCAAGCTACCATTTATAACCTGTTGAGTGCCTGTACAAGAAGAATCAAGCCTTTCTGTTTACAATGATGCAATATGTAGACACATGTTGGCCACCTTTGTACTGCTGTTACTGATCTGTGATTTGGCAAGGCCTGGGCTGGCCTGTGAGAAGGCATTAACAGAGTTGGATGCAGACTAAAAAAACCGGTGTGGTGCGCTGTGAAAAAAAAATGTTAAACAATAAACTTGGTGCATCCAGTATTCACTGGATTGCCCTCCTGATTCTGTCCTCTGTATTGATCTTTTATTTAACATCTTGTCAAATAGGCTAGATGTGACTGATGCCCCCACAAAGATGGGATATTTCAGATGGCTAATACAAATTCATACTACAATGACAGGCTACTACATGGGCTACTACACTCCTGCAAAAATCACCTGCTGCTGCTGCTGTCTCTATGCCTTTGGCTGATCCATAGGCGGCCCCCTCCAACCCTCTCCTCTGCTTGCTCCTTTGGAGTAATAAATACCATTTGTACTGAGAATTTTTTTTCTGATTGTGCCCTGTATTGACTCCAGGGTGCCACTCTCCCTTGCAACACAGATTTCAAATGATCCTTTCTACAGATATACACATAATTTAAAGAGATAAATATGAAGAATATATATATTAGTTAACTTGTCTTCAAACAAAGAAAAAAAAAGACCACAGGGTTTGGGGTCTGGATCATCAGGGTGGAGCAGGGGAGAGCCCAGGACTAAGGTGTCAGAGGTCCAGGGTTCCATTCTTAGCTCTCTGCAAAATGAATGTGCTGGCCTATGATTGTAATCTTAGCACTCAGGAGCTGGATAGAGTAGGATCAGAAGATTGTCTGAGCCAACAGAGCATTGAGCAATGGGCCTGGCCCTGTCCAAAATAAATTAATATACAGAGAAAAAGTAAATACATAAATAAAGAAATAAATAATAAATGGATTGCAATAATAGGAATAGTAAATAACAAATAACTGGAGCTAGGTGAAGGGGGGGAGGAGAGTTTCAGAGTTTCAGAGACAGAGAGAGAACAGAGAGAGAGAAGAGAGAGAGACAGACAGAGAGAGAGGAGAGAGGGAGGAAGGGAGGAGATAGAGCAAGCAGACATTGGAGGGCAAAAGATACTTTGGAGCTTTGGGACCCAAAGTCACACTTGGCAGATCCCTGATGTGGGTGCTTTGCCTGTACTCTAGATCTCAGGAAAAAC